AAAAAACCAGGCTTGGTGGCTCACGCCTGTAATCCTAGCTACCCAGGAGGCTGAGGCAAGAAAATTGCTTGAACCCAGGAGGCAGAGGTTGCAGTGAGCAAGATTACAAGAATATATGATAAAGTAGTACCATTATCTTTTTCTTAAAAAGGTGATTAAAGTAACAGTTGTGGCCAACAACACTTGTCTAAAATTAGGTGCTCAGTGTTCTAGAAATTTCATTGTATGTTATTTACATCGGAGTACAGAGCAAACATTTTGAGGTTGGGGGTTTTTTTTGTTGTTTTCTTGCTTTTTTTTTTTTAATAGCATTTCTGAGAACCTTAAATGCTGTTTTGTGAGCCAAATAATAGCAAATTTTTTTCACATGACTTATTTTTTCTTTTAACTTTTTAAAGAATCAGATGGGTGACTCAAATATCTCCAGCCCTGGGTTACAGCCAAGCACTCATCTCTCCAATCTGGGAAGCACCGAGACTCTAGAAGAGACACCCTCGGGGCCACAAGATAAGGTTTGTACAGCTAAAGCTCTAGCTTTGTCTTAAGTAACAAAGAGTAACATTCAGTAAGGGTTCTAATACAGTGCAAGTTTGATTTGTCACCTGTTTCAAGGTTCATATGTGCAGCAACATAATGAATTTAATTTAAAAATAAAATGATCCTCCTGGGTCATTAGGATCTGAGTAACTGTCTTTCATCTGGATTTTGCAGTAGCCTCCTATCTAGTTTCCCATCTTTTGCCCCCTGGTTGCTTCTTACCTATTCTTAACCCAACAGCCAAAGTAATCCTTGCAAAACATAAATTAGATCATGGCATTCCTCTGCTTAAAACTCTCCAGCAGTGTTCCAGCTCACTCAAATAATATCCAGGATCATGACATTGGCCCGTGAGGCTCTACCTAATCTGGCCCCTCTAACCCAGGCCTCATGTGTCACTCTGCATCGCTCACCTGGCCCCAGGCCCATTGGCTGTCTTGCCTTTCCCCAAATGTGCCAGATATGTTCCTGCCTCAGAACAGGCCTTTACACTTGTTGTTCCCTTGGCCTGTAATACTTTCCTCCCTGATAGGATTTGCTCCCTTTCCTCCTTCAAGTGTCATATATCCTCCATAAGTCAGGCCTTCTCTGACTCTACCCTGTTTAAAATAACCCTTGGCCAGGCACAGTGGCTCACACCTATAATGCCAGCACTTTGGAAAAATACAAAAATTAGCTGGGTGTGATGGCCCGTGCCTGTAATCACAGCTACTCAGGAGGCTGAGGCACCAGAATGGCTCGAACCCAGGAGGCAGAGGTTGCAGTGAGCCAAGATAGCACCAGTGCACTCCAGTCTGGGAGACAGAGCAAAACTCTGTCTCAAGGGAAAAAAAAAAGTAACAACCCTTGGCCAGGCACGGTGGCCCACGCCTGTAATCTCAGCACTTTGGAAGGCCAAGGCCATAGTGAGACCCACCCTTTCTCTAGAAAAAAATTTAAAATTAGCCAGACATGGTGTCATGCACTTGTGGTCCCAGTTAATTGGGAGGCTGAGGTAGGAGTCTTGCTTGAGCCCAGGAGGTTTGAGATTGCAGTGAACCATGATCACACCACTGCACTCCAGCCTGGGTAACAAAGCAAGGCCCTATCTCAAAAAGTTAATTTAATTTAAAAATAAAACAGCCGGGCACAGTACTTCCCACACCTGTAATCCCAGCACTTCAGGAGGCCAAGGCAGGCGGATCACCTGAGGTCAGGAGTTCGAGACTAGCCTGGCCATCATGGTGAAACCCCATCTTTATAAAAAATAAAATAAGAAAAAGAAAAAAAAAGAATATGATATAAATGGAATCTTATATATAACCTCTTGTGATTGTCTTTCTTCACTCAGTGTAATTCCTGAACATTTCACTGAAGTTACATGTATCAAGTTTGTTCCCTATTATTACTGAGAGTATTATGTGATATAGAAGTACCAAAATTTATTTAACTGTTTTGACCACTCACCTGTTGAAGAATATTTAGATTGTTTTCAGTTTTGGGTTATTACAAATAAAGCTCCTATAAACAGTTATGTACAGGTTTTTGTGTGAACATAAATTTTCATTTCTCTGGTATAAATGCCCAGGAATGCAAATGTCAGGTCATTTGATATTATGTGTTTTAGTTTAATAAGAAACTGCCTTGGGAGGCTGAGGCGGGTGGATCACCTGAGGTCAGGAGTTCAAGACCAGGCTGACCAACATGGTGAAACCCCATCTCTACTAAAAATACAAAAATTAGACGGACATGGTAGTGGTAGCACCTGTTATCCCAGATACTAAGTAGACTGAGGCATGAGAATCGCTTCAACCCAGGAGGCAAAGATTGCAGTGAGCCGAGATCATGCCATTTCACTGTAGCCTGGGCAACAAGTGAAACTGCATCTCAAAAAAAAAACCGCCAAACTGTTTTCTAGGAAGTCGGTACAATTTTACATTCACATCAGCAATGTATCCATAATGTTTTTAGATATTTAGATGATAATTAATTTAAACCAAATTTTGTATTCTGCCTTCCTGTGCCACGTTTTTACTGTATCTGGATTTAGGATCATCATCAGGAGTGTGCAGTGGGCTTTCTACTTCCCCTTTATAAATCATGAGTCACCTCGCCTTCCTTTTGTGAATCATGAGGTTAAGGAATCTTGTACCACCTAACCCAGAGTTATTGTAAGACCCTAAGAAAGAAATGGACCAGAAAAAAATGCCTTAAGAATTATAAGGTCAGGCACAGTGACTCACACTTTTAATCCTAGGACTTTGGGAAGTAGAGGCAGGTGGATTGCTTGAGGCCAGAAATTTGAGACCAACCTGGCCAACATGGTAAAACCCTGTCTGTACTAAAAATACAAAAATTAGCCAAGTGTGGTGGCACATGCCTGTAATCACAGCTACTGAGGTGGCTGAGGCAGGAGAATTGCTTGAACCTGGGAGGCAGAGGTTACAGTGAGCCAAGATTGTGCCACTACACTCCAGCCTGGGTGACAGAGCAAGACTCCATCTCAGGGGGGTGGGGAGCCTCCACTTTTTAGGTTATAGTGACAAAATTTTATGAAATACTGAGATCTGGATATTGTCGGAAGCTATGTGATTGACTAAAATTAGCTTAAATTTATAATCAGCCCCCCCACACAGTTACATTTGTTTAGTAACACTGCCATCTAGTGCTGAGGAGCAAGTACTCCTATCAATCCTTAATAGTATTACATTCCATTTCAGTTGTGTAATTCACTTATTAAACTTTCCTTGGGAATGTTTCTCTAGTGTGTTTTGGTTTTGTTTGCTTCCTGTATTCAAGAATAATGTTTGCCTTATGGTGTGCCCACTGCAGTGACCACTAGCTCCAAACAGAAATGTGAAATTCTCTAACATCAATTTTCTGTGGGATGAGGAATGAACCTGATGCTGTATATAAGAATTTTACCCTACGCCATACATGCTGTTGCTCACTGAATCCCATTTCCCAAGCTAAAATGGTCAGACTAACACTTGATCTATGTGAACCATGTGAAGTATTAAAAAACTCAGAATCTAGACTCTTTTTTTTGTTTTCCGTCTCACCACAACCTCCACCTCCCAGGTGCAAGCAATTCTCCCATCTCAGCCTCCCGAGTAGCTAGGATTACAGGCATGCACCATCATGCCTGGCTAATTTTGTATTTTTAGTAGAGATGGGGTTTCTCCATGTTGATCATGCTGGTCTCAAACTCCTGACTTCAGGTGGTCCGCCCACCTCGGCCTCTCAAAGTGCTGGGATTACAGGCATGAGCCACCATATCTGGCTCAGAAACCAGACTTTAAGCATATTCAAGCATGAGGAAAGAATAACATTTTACCTTTTCTGTGGATGCTGGAAGGTTAATTCATGAATAAATAAACACAGCTACTAGAGGAGGGCAACCAATTTTTCTTATCAGAAACAGAAAAGAAGCCGGGCCCGGTGGCTCACGCCTGTAATCCCAACACTTTGGGAGGCTGAGGCGGGTGGATCACCTGAAGTCAGTTCAAGACCAGACTGACCAACATGGTGAAACCTCATCTTTAAAAAAAAAAAAAAAAAGAAAAGAAAGAAAGAAACAGAAAAGAATGCAGAGACAGGGAAGCTTCTGGGGATTTGTGCGACGAGGAATGTTCTGCTCACCCAGCCTCCTATGACAAATCCAACCAGTTAGGTACAGTTGTGTGTCACTTAACAATGGGAATACATTCTGAGAAATGTGTCTTTAGGCGATTTCATTCCCCGAACATCATAGAGTGTACTTGTACCTTCACGTACCTAGATGGCATTGCCTACTAACACCTAGGCTCAATGGCATAGCCCGTGGCTCCTAGGCTACAGACCTGTACGGCACATCATTGTGCTGCGTCTTACAGAATTTGTTGTCTATTTTGACTTTCGTTGAGTGGGTTTGAAATGTTGCCAAGGAGTTTTAAACAAACAGCTGTGTCCTTGATGATTCTTTGCATCGGGAGTGACCAGGAGGTTTATAGTAGCCTAGCCTTGGTTATCTTACCAGACGTGTTGTTGTTGTTGTCTTGCATTATGGGGATATGATATTCCAGAAGCATTTGATGAACTTTTGTTTGGTACTCTATGCTTGCTATTAAGACCACGTGGTGGGCCGGGTGTGGTGGCTCACCCCTGTAATCCCAGTACTTTGGAAGGCCAAGGCGTGCAGATTACCTGAGGTCAGAAGTTTGAGACCAGCCTGGGCAATATGGTGAAACCCCTCTACTAAAAATATGTAAATTAGCTGACCATAGTGGCGTACACCTGTAATCCCAGCTACTTGAGAGGCTGAGGCATGAGAATCACTTGAACCTGGGAGACAGAGGTTGCAGTGAGCTGAGATTATGCCACTGCACTTCAGCCTGGGCAATAGGGCAAGACTCCATCTCAAAAAACAAACAAACAAAAAAAAGATCACATGGTGTTTATGTGATTATAGTTTAAGCCAACTTCAATTTAATTTTCACAACAGTGTTCTAAGATCATTGCCACAGTGTCCACACTTTTTGGATAAGGAACTAAATTAGAAAGATTATGCCGGGCTCAATGGCTCACTACAAAAAAATTAAAAAATAAACCAAGTACGGTGGCATGCACCTGTGGTCCCACCTACATGAAAGGATTGCTTGAGTCTGGGAGGTCTAGGCTGCAGTGAGCTCTGATCATACTGCTACACTCCAGTCTTACTGACAGAGTGAGACCCTGTCTCAGAAAAACAGAAAGAAAAAGAAAGATTATGTAATTTTCCCAATTCACAGCTGAGGTATTTTTTATTTCAGACCCTAAACTCTGCAGTTTTTTTCAAAAGTAAAAATATGAAGAAATTGAACCATATAAGATCTTTAGCATTTTTTTGTATCCACAGATATTGATGCTGCCTTATATTTGAAGTGAGATTCTAACATTAGTGGAATTTCTTTATTTAATATTTTCTAAGGCAATATGGTTTGATATGAAGCTACAACTTTTTACAACTGTGGGAGGTTCTTGCCTCTTCCTCCACAAGAGTTACTTTTTACTGACTGAATTTTTTCAGACCTGCCTTGTCCCTCTTACCTAGCAGGTGATGCTGTCCTCATACCAAGGAGAGAAGACAGAATGGCACTTCCTTAACTTCTGTCCTTCACATGCAGACTTGCCTGCATGCTCATCGCTGCTGGCCCTCTTTTTTCTTATTGTCTGACATGATCTCCTGACACAAGATCTCTTGCACCTGCCCCTTAAGCTCCCTCTCTCCTCATACTGACCTCCCCCTCCTCCCCGAGAGGACTTTGAAAGAGAGTACTGTGGAGTGTCTGCTATGTACTGATTGGATCTGTGGTCCTGGGTGGCGGTGCCATTGCTCGGGTAGGCAAGTCCAGGAGCATGAAAGGTAAGGATTGGGGAATACACAAGAAAGAGAGCCCCTGCCTTGGCACACTTGCTTCCCATGTTGTTGTTAGGAGTGCTGACATTAAACACGCACCTCCTATGTGCTGGCTTCCATACGTTTCAGCCTCCCACCAGCCCTCCCTACTTTATAGAGGCCTGAGACTCTGAGTTGACAGCACTCCTCAGTCCACACAGCTGGAAAGGAGCAGAGCCAGGCCCTGAATCTGGGCATTTAGTAGGACATTACAGCTCTGTCATTGCAGTGTCCTGAGGGGATGCCTTTGCTCTCTTGACTTGTATTATCAGTTTTGTGTTTTAAGAACACAAAATAACATTACCATTTTGCGTTCTAAGTCAGTACCTCCATGTTCTAGATGTCCCACGGAGACCTCCAGACATGTTCACAACTAACTTGAGCGGCCCCCACTCCCTCAACCTAGGGGCTTTTCCAGGGCTGCCTGCCCACGCAGTGGCACCACCATCCAATACCCAGATAGCAGGGTGTCCTCTCGGCTCCATGCTCCTACCTGGCCAGCCACCAACTCCTTTTATTTCCAACTCCAGTTCTCGTCGTCTTCTCTGCCAGTATCTTAGACTCTCCTCAGTCTCACCCCTCCACTTTGTCCTTTATGTGGCCGACTAAGTGCACATCCTAAAATGTAAAGCTTGATGGCTCATTCTCTGAACATGTCCCCATTGCCCTATGGATAAAGTCCAGATCCTCTAACGTGTCTCGGACACTCTGCAGTCTGCCCACTGCTTCTCTCTTTCCCCGTCACCTTCCTACCCAGCCTCTGACCCAGCTGTGCTGAAGCACGTGTAGCTGTCTCAGTGACTGTCCTCCCAGCCAGCTGGCCTTATCCCTCCCCGCTCAGTCTTTTTCCCAGCGCCTTCCGTCCGAGCCCTGCAGCTCTGCCCCCCGGGGGCCTTATCACCAGCTATCCTGGCCTCTTTTTTCACATCACAGTCACAGCACAATGCCTGGCACCTGATAAATTCAAGAATCTTTGTCAAATGGATAAGACAAACATTCGCCTAGACAACACTGCGTTTTCCTGTAGAAATGTGATCATACCATAGTCCTATCAACATTATACTAATTTGTGGTGGGCTTTGAGGCCTTACAGACTTTCTGAGGCCTTGAAAAGCATGTGTTTCAGTGAACTAATTTTTTCACTATAAACAGATCTAAACAACTAAGTAATTCACTCATTTTAGGAATAAAAATTTGAGGCCGCCTATGTTTTCAAAGTGCTCTGGTATGTCTCCCACTAAAACGTAAGCTCTGTGAGAACTGTTGTGACTCCCTTGCTACATCCCGTGGGCCTGGGTTAGAGCAGGACCTGACACCCTATTAGTTCTCAGGAAGTAAAGGTTACTGACTATGGCGGTACTGCTTAAAGGTACAGGAAAGCATGAATATTTTTCCTTTGAATGGTTGTAAGGGTGTCAGTAAACCAACTTGCTAAAATAAATATAAATTTAAATTGTCAGGCTTAAATGCTTTGCTTTTTCTTAAGAATTCTGTGACTAGGGAAGAAGGAGGAAGGAATGGCCCACTATTAAATTGTTAGATTTATTTTCTGATATTTGGGACCCAGTCTCTGAGGTCCATTGCCTAGCTTTTCATCAAGAACAGTGAAAGTAAACGTAGAATCGCCTCATCAGCATTTGGTCCCTGTGTCTCCTCTAGTGTCACATCCCTACGTGTGTTGCTGACATGAGGCAATTGGGCACAATTAGCTTTGCCAAGAAAAGGAATGGTGAATTCTGATGCTGCTACCCAGAGACCCTAAAAATTTGAATTATATTACTAATGCAAATTTCCATCCACCACTCTGGGGACACTAGATGAGCCTGGGCCTTAATCCTTAGTACATCTTCATTTTTTTTTCCCCATTCCTTATTTTTATGCTCCATCCATCCTTGATTGTGCAAAATCTTTTGGTTTCTGGAAAAGAAGTTCGGTTATGCTGATGTATGAGAGACCTCTTTTCACTGGGTGGTTTGATTTGTTTTTCAGTCTGCTCCATCTGGACACAAGCATCTGACAGTAGAAGAGTTATTTGGAACCTCTTTGCCAAAGGAACAGCCAGCAGTTTTGGGTCTGGATTCAGAAGAAGTGGAGAGGTTGCCAGGAGATGCCTCCCAGAAAGAGCCCAGTTCATTTCTACCATTTCCCTTTGAGCAGTCAGGAGGAACCCCTCAATCAGAAACCCTGGGTGTCCCTTCTGCCCACCTCTCAGTCCAGCCTGAAATCACCACCCCGGTGCTAATCACTCCAGCCTCCATCACACAGTCCAATGAAAAGCATGCCCCAAGCTACACAATCCCGTTGAGCCCCGTTCTCAGTCCCACTCTGCCAGCTGAAGCTCCTACTACACAGGTTCCCCCTAGCTTACCTCGAAACAGCACCATGATGCAGGCAGTGAAGACCACGCCTAGACAGAGGTCTCCACTCCTGAACCAGCCAGTCCCTGAGCTAAGCCATGCCAGTCTGATTGCCAACCAGAGCCCCTTCAGGGCCCCCTTGAACGTGACAAACACAGCTGGCACATCCCTCCCAAGCGTTGATCTTCTCCAGAAACTCAGGTTGACCCCACAGCATGACCAAATACAGACACAACCACTTGGGAAAGGTGCAGTGGTAGCCAGCTTTGCTCCAGTAGCTGGTCAGCTGGCCACACCTGAGAGCTTCATAGAGCCTCCCTCTAAGGCAGCAGCAGCAAGAGCAGCGGCCCCAGCCTCTCTGAGCAACATGGTGCTTGCTCCCCTTCAGGTAACGGCAGGAGGGTGGGGGTGGGTAGGGTGGGAAACTAATTGGATGGGATGAAACTACAAAGACCTTGGTTTTAACTGTCATGACACTGACAGTTTTAAAGAGTTGTCTCTTTGAAGTATGTCAGTGGCTAGGAGACAGGTGAGGTAAGAAGCCCTATCATGAACAACCAAGTAACATATTTCGTATCTGGATATGCATTTTAGCCGGGGTTCTATGTTTTGCTTTTGTGCAACAGTTCCAGGAGTCCTCATTTGACTCATGACCAAATTATCACAAAACTTAGCTCCCTTCCCAGTTCCCACTGTACTTTCCTGGAGTGCCTACCTTGTGCCGAGTAACCTAGAGGTCCCATAAGAGCATCCTAGACTTGGAGGTATGAGTTCAAATAAAGCTACTTTTTTCACATCGCCTTATCAAGAAGTGTCATGTTGCCTGGATCTCTCATCTCTACAGATTCAGCAGCAAAAATAAGCCCAGGCTGAAGGACAAACATCACATGTTCTCACTTTATTTGAACTCATGGAAATAGAGAGTAGAGGATGGTTACCAGAGGCTGGGAAGGGTGGTGGGAGGGTGGGAGGAGGTGGGGATGGTTAATGCATACAAAAAAATAATAATAAGACCTAGTATTTAGTAACACCACAGGGTGACTATAGTCAATAATAATTTAATTGTACATTTTTAAATAATGAAAAGAGTATAATTAGATTGTAACACAAAAAAATGCATGAGGGGATGGATACCCCATTTTCCATGATTATTATGCATTGCATGCCTATATCAAAACATTTCATATACCTCATAAGTATATACACCTATATACCCACAAAAATTAAAAATTATATATATTTCTGCGCTATCCCTGGATCTTATAAGAGATACAGGTTTTAGGGTTTTACTTTTACTTTTTTGAGACGGAGTCTCACTCTGTCACCCAGGCTGGAGTGCAGTGACGCAATCTTGACTCACTGCAACCTCTGCCTCCAGGGTTCAAGTGATTCTCCTGCCTCAGCCTCTTCAGTAGCTGGGATTATGGGCATGAGCCACCGCTCCTGGCTCAGGTTTTTCTTTAAAGATGCCTAAAAGGCTCTGCACACTCCTTCCCTCAGGAGCTAAAGAGGAGAGAAGCTGTCCCAGAGCTCTCATGCAGTTTTGTTGGCTGCATAGTTACAAGTTTCTGTCAGCCTCTTCCCTTGGGAATATACGAACTAGTTAACATCTGAACCATTTTCTGTTACTCACCTAGATTTTCCACTAGAAAAGTCTTCTACAATTAAGACTAGGAAGTCTTCTTAATTGAAACTTCTTAGGCCGAGCGCAGTGGCTCACGCCTGTAATCCCAACACCATGGGAGGCCAAGGCAGGTGGATCACCTGAGGTCAAGAGTTCAAGACCAACCTGACCAACATGGAAAGACCTCATCTCTACTAAAAATACAAAAATTGGCTGGGCATGGTGGCACATGCCTATAATCCCAGCTACTCAGGAGGCTGAGGCAAGAGAATCGCTTCAACCCAGGAGGCAGAGTTTGCAGTGAGCTGAGATTGCACCATTGCACTCCAGCTGGAGCAACAAGAGCAGGACTTCATCACAAAAAATAAAAATACAAAAGAAACTTTCTTATACCTGTCTATCTTTTCTTCTTAAACATTTCAGTCTATGCAGCAGAACCAGGATCCTGAAGTATTTGTCCAGCCTAAGGTGTTATCCAGTGCCATCCCGGTAAGGACTCACTTTTTCTTTTTTTTTTTTTTTTTTTTTAAGACTAGTCAGGTGCCATCGTGAGAAGGTAGAAAGAGTAGAACAAGGAGTTTGAGCTGTAGCTGGCTGTGAACAATCAGGACTCCTTTTTTCTGAAGAACACATTATATATTTTTAAATTCTTCCACTGGATGTGAAATAAAAGGTTGTCAGCTTAGTGAAAAGAGTTAGCTGTGGAGCCCAGCCCATCTTAGAGGCATCTCCTAGGCCAGGCCCTCTCCCACCCCCATCCTGGTGGCGTCCATTGCCATGGCCTCTGTGGATCTCAAGGTATCTGCATGGATGTCTTCCCTGACTATGTGTGTAGAGGGCAGGGTGGGCCGTTACTCAGTATTTGTGAATGGGTGACTGCTAAGAGTGTGGTAGCCTGGCTTCTCTAAATAGGACTTCCTGGAAGAGCTGTGATGTCCCAGGTGGCAGAGCCACTATCCTGGTACAGTCCTCTCATTTCCCATAGCTCTGAGAATACAGCCTCCCGGGCCTGTGTCTTCTTTCCATTTGTCCTCCCTTGCTTCATTGTGTGTTGTCCTTACTCTCTATCACCCACTAACCTTGCCTTGCACACAGGTTTTTTTTAGTTCCTTAAAGTCATTCTTGTTTTCCTTTGAGCCTTTGTACCTCTCCTTGAGCCTTGGAATTTAAAATCGTGCGAACTTCTGACTGGTCTTATAAACACCACTCTTTCCTGTGTGTCTTGTCCTTCTGCATGGTGATCTGTCTGCAGGAGCTCTCAGCCTGCTTTTGCACCAAAAATAAATAAATAAAAGGTCAATAGCTCAGATGCCAAAAACCACACCCTTGAAACTGTGGCCAGTTCTGTGCTCTGTAAATGAGCACAGTGTATAAGAGAAAGAAATGTAGATCTCTGTTGATTATATCAAATCTGAGAATTACTGAAAATACTGATTATTACTGGTTTAATATTCAGGTAATTGTCTGGAATTACCCTAGAAGCACATCTAAATGGAGGAGAGAGGTCGATGTTAGCTTTATTTTTAAGAAATTTTCTCATTGATACCTATAACGGTATAAAAAATAGATTAAACATAACTGGATTTTGTTTTTTGTTTTTTTTTTTTGTTTTCTTGAAATGGAGTCTTGCTCTGTTGCCCAGGCTGGAGTGCAATGGTGCTATCTCAGCTCACTGCAACCTCCACTTCCTGGGTTCAAGCAGTTCTTCTGCCTCAGCCTCCCAAGTAGCTAGAATTACAGGCACCCATCACCACGCTCAGCTAAGTTTTTGTCTTTTTAGTAGAGACGGGGTTTCACCATGTTAGCCAAACTGGTCTCACTCGAATTCCTGACCTCAAGTGATCCACCCACCTTGGCCTCCCAAAGTGCTAGGATTGCAGGTGTGAGCCACTGTTCCCTGCCACAACTGGATTTTTAACTTCTTTTTTATTGTAGTATGATTTACATACACTAAAATACAGATTTTTAGAGGCCAGGTGTGGTGACTCACACCTGTAATCTCAGCACTTTGGGAGGCTAAGGCGGGAGGATCATTTAAGCCCAGGAGTTCAAGATCAGCCTGGGTAATGTAGTGAGATCTTGTCGCTATAAAAAAAATTTTTAAAAAAATGAGGCCGGAGGATTGCTTGAGCCCAGGAAGTTGAAGCTGCAGTGAGTGGTGACCACACTACTGCATTGCCACATGGGTGACAGAATGAGAACCTGGCAAAAAAAAAAAAAAAAAAAAAAAAAAAATGCAGTTTTCTGTGGTTGGACGTGGCTTCCCATAATGATTCTAGGACTTTCTTATATAAATGAGCTCATCATCCTTTAGCTAATGGAAGTTTATAACTGGATGTCAAATGGTCAGATGCTCCTACTGAATGTTTACCTGAATCCAAAATAGTCTGTCTCTGTGCTCCAGTCTTCTGCTGCTTGTGCATGTTTCCACATGGTCCCTATTCTGGGCCTGGCCACTGACTCCTGCACTTTGGTACAAAATGACCATCGTTCCTCTCCAGGTTTTAGGTGCCCCACTGGTCACTGCAACGACCACTGCAGTGTCTTCAGTCCTGCTAGCCCCGAGTGTTTTCCAGCAGACAGTTGCAAGGTCTTCAGACCTGGAAAGGAAAGCAAGCTCCCCTTCTCCTCTAACTGTTGGAACGCCAGAAAATCAGAGAAAGCCTTCCATTATTCTCAGCAAGTCTCAGCTCCAGGATACATTAATACATCTAATAAAGGTATGTAGGGTACCAATTTTATCTTTGTTTCTTCATTATTTAGTGAAAGAAATTTCTTAAATTCCTTCTACAGAATCAGCTCATAAAGTAAATTCAAAAGACTAGCTGGAGGTCGGGCAGAGCGGCTCACGCCTGGAACCCCCGCACTCTGGGGGGCGAGGTGGGCCAAAATGAAAAAAGACTAGCTGGTAGTCATGTGTTTCTTTTTTTGAGCATACAGTCCTGGTGGAGAAATACCTCAGTGAACTCAAAATACTGATCATGATTTTCTCTGCGTGGTGGGATTATCAGTTATACAAATCATTTATACAATTTTTTTCCTAAGCTGTTATCAAGGAAGTAAAATCTGATGAGGTAAAAGTGACATTCATATTCTTTACCATCTCTTCTAGAATGATTCCAGCTTCCTCAGTACACTTCATGAAGTCTATTTGCAGGTGCTGACCAAGAACAAAGACAACCACAACCTATGACTGGAGCAGAATGAGTCTAAAAGCAGAGCGCCAACCTCAGAGACAAATAGGCTTCATCATGGAAACTTCTGAGCAGAACATTGAGTTTGAGAATCCTGAAATTGAGCCTATGAGAAAGAGACTCATTTCTTAAGAATGTTTTCCAAGTGACATTCTCAGTGATAATGGAGGTTTCACTGTGAAGCATCACCAGCAGACCTTTGTTTTGACAAAAAAAAAAAAAAAATCATTATGTTCAGTTATGTGGGTGTTTTCATCAGTTAGGAGCAAGGCTGTGGAATAAGGAGTCTGATTCTCGCTTTTACTTTCAAGGACTTACAGAGGAGTAGTCACCAGCCTCACAGCAGAAGTTCAGCCCGGCCAGCACCCCTTCCCCCAACCTACCCCATAGAAACGGGCTTACAGTCAAGTTCTGAACAGAGTAGAAGGCAGCTCTGCAAAGTAGCTTCACGATTTTAGGACCAGAATTTAAGTTGGCAAATTAGGAATTATTTGCCCAAGTGAAGTGTATTTTATATGAACGCCCCATTTGGGCCTTAAAAGTTGTGAAATTTCTTAATAGCATTTTGTTTTTAAGTGCCCCAGTCCTGCCACGCAGCAGGCTCCCAGTGCAGCATTACCATTTGAATAGGGCACTGTCAGGCTCTGGTGGTGTGGACGCAGGCATGTCACACCTCTGAAGGAAAGGCTGGGGCTGGGAGTGCCCACATCCTATCAAATCTTCATTTTAAGTTAAGCTCTCCAGTGGTTGTGAAAACGTTAAGTTTGTGTATGAAACACAACCTTATTTTCCTTTTCTGTCACTGTTGGTTGTTTTCTTTAACACTTTGACAAAAGGACCAGTGGACCAATCTGACGACGCCATTCTGGTTCCTTTCCTTGAGTGTACTGAGAATAGTTTTAAAGCTATGCAGAAAAGGGAGCTGTTATTCACACTGCCCTTATTTTGTTGTAGAATTATGGAGTTAAAAGAAAATGTGATTCCGAACTCTACCAGTATATTCCTAGGCTGTGAGTACTTTCCCAGCCCAAAGTGTGAAAATATGTAAAGATGCTTTGTTATGCTGCTATTGATCTGCCATGATTTCTATTTATTCTTTTATGGCATGTAATGGTGTTTAGTAAGATTTTAATGTAGATTTTGATTTATTTCAGCAATAGTAATTTTAAGATATTCTTTGAATGAAAGTGTCTTCGTTTCTATGATACAGGTCATTTTGTAGTATTTAACCAATTAAGATGCACTGCTTACTTTTCTGAGCACTATTTAATGATGGGGTAAAAACCCAATTGGCTCAACCAGCTAGCGTAAGGATTAGCTGTGAATAATGCTGACAGATATGATGGTTCCTTGGGAACAATCATTTAAGCTTTAATGGTAACTCAATCATAAGTCCATAGATTATTTTTTTCTAGCTGAAATTTTAGAAAATTACTTGTGAATTACATATTTGTTTTAGTTTGGTCTTAGTTTTTAGCATAAAGAATGATTGGCTTTTGTTGATCTAAACATGCTTCCTGGACAGGGTTTCTGCTTCTCATTTTAGTGTCTTCTATCACTGTCTACCTAATTATGTGTGAATTGTGCAGAATTCAGGGAAGCTTATAAGTTTTCATGCTCAATTATGAATAGTTTGTTTTCACAGATAGTGTGTAAATTAAGCAACCAAAAATGAATTGCTTATGCATCATCTGGGAACGAGAAAGTCATAGTAGGATTCAGAGTGTTGCTGACACCAGGAGATGGTGTCTAGGGAGCCACGTGACTTCCATAAAGTGGACGCACCAAGAGGTGTGATCACACCCCAGGTGTGGTCTCAGTGGGCTTTAGTGAACAGACGAATCAAGGGATTCTTGAATTGAAATTATGCTTTTAAGTATGTAATATGAGAGAGTTAAGAGAGAATATCCTAAAGAGAGTCTGTAATCATATTAATTTTCACCTTTAATGCTAGGAATGGATATGATAGACAGTAAAGAGAATCTATGATAAGGCTTCCTTAGTGTGAAAGTAAACTTAAGTGCCCAAGTCATGGAGACTTGAAAAGGGTAAACCTGTTTCACCTCCCAAATTTATATATTGAAAGCATCTACTTAAAATTCAGAAGCCAGAAGTTCATGTCGTGATTACCAGGAAGTTCAGGCCAGAATGAATCCCTAGAGAAGCCAGGTCAAGCCTGGATAATTGCAGTTGGATGATCCTGGCCGGAAAGTCACAGTTCAGTTGCCTTATTCCTAGTTCAGGCTTACTATCTAGAACCTCATGCTAGCTTAGGTTGCATGTTTACATTGCTGCAGTGTCTTTACTGGAACCTTAGTTGAATCAAAATGGACACGGAGATTGAGATGCTTCTGGCTAGATTTCGAAGAACCCCAGGAGACCTGCATTTAGACCACTCTGTCCATTTGTGTGCCCACCCCACCCCCAGGGTCTAAGTGTAGACTCCAAGAGGAGCAACCTAGAACTTGGAGGAAAGGTGTGTTTGGGGCGCCACTGGGGGGTGGTGCTGCTCTTCGTTTTGTTGTAGTTAAATGTGATGTCTGATGTCTTTGAATGGACTCTCACACCTCCCAGACAGCCTTGTTCCTTTAAGGCAGAAGCTCCTCTTTGTGTACCTCCTCGGATTCGTGAGGCCTGCCTGACTTTGCACTCAAGTCTTTCAAGTGACTCTCAGTGTTGGGAGAAGCATTTCATGCTGTCCACCTGTAGTATGTCCAGAGCTCACCTTCGAAGGCTTAGGTGTAGCCATCACAGAGAGTGGTATTTTATTAAGAACCCAAGTCCCAGCCTGACCAAAATGGTAAAACACCTTCTCTACTAAAAATACAAAAATTAGCTGGGCATGGTGGCGCATGCCTGTGATCCCAGCTATTTAGGAGGCTGAGGCAGGAGAATTGCTTGAACCCGGGAAGCGGAGGTTACAGTGAGCTGAGATTGCACCACTGCACTCCAGCCTGGCTGACAGAGCGAGACGC